CCCCACTGGATGCAACAAATGCCTCGTTTATAATAGGTTTTCATGTTTTTGTCTCGTCGTGCCAGGACAAGGCATCACAATATGGCAAGGGTCGTAACATTTCCGTCACACGTTTGAGGAATTCGGCCAATCACAACGCACTGGATAGCTGGCCAATCACAGCACACCTCGCTTTTCAGATCGATGAGCTTTGTAAAAATCGATGCGTTTCAGAAAGGCGGGGCATAGAGGAGAAACAATAATGTACAGTATGTGGAAAATAATGTGTTTTTTGAACCTTAAACCGCATAAACACATTTCATTACACCAAATACACAAAATAATGTTCTTTTTAGCAGCATCATATGACCCCTTTAACATATCTTAATGATACAGTTTATTTCCTTTAACTATTATTTTTGTTTCTGAAAGTGTTTCAGTATAATCCTTAAAATAAACTGTTAAGGATGTTTGTCATGCAGTTAAGGGTGATTATTAATAATTAAAGAAACCATGTTAGCCTACAGACACTAGACCAAACAGACAGTTAATTCACCTCAGATTTGCTGTCTGCACATACACTCTGAAAAAACACATTAGTTTGCCTTATATTTCCATTTTCTTCTAGTAAATAAATATATTTCAATCGACTATATTCCTACACTTAACATGACTCGCTATTTTGCCCCTTCTATTTACCGTTTACTAACATCACATTTTTCTTCATTTTACCTTTAGTCATTTCATTAGTTTACCTGTGGATTTATGTGATATACAAAGAGCAAATGTTACTCTCGTTTAAGTTTTAATCTTCCACATAACCTCTTTTTCTGATGAAAACGAAAGACGTTTGCATTCATTTCCAAGCCCTTGACGAATCTGCACTATTCATTTCAGCGGAAGGACAAACAACATCCTTGAGTGAGCGAAGGCTTGAAAGGGGGGGGGGGCGGAGTGATACGAAGCCTGGCGGTGGATTCGGATCCGAAGTGAAGTGGAGAAACTTTTTCAAAAGTTCCTGGAGGCGTTTCGAGACGCACGGCAGCCGAGCCCGAGCTGCAGAGGAAGTACGGAATTGGACTATATAGAAAACGCTCAATTTCTATGAATTTCTCTCAAGTTAACTTTATGACGCTAATTCATCTTAATGTGATTCCTTGGAACTTTAATCACCGTATCATTTTTTAAAGGATGTATTATTGCTAACATTTCAAAAAAGGAGTAGGATCGAGTTTCCACAGAAATGGGGAATTACAGTCTTTGGATATTTCTGTCAATTTTACATCTTATGCAAAACAGCGAAGGTAAGATGACTGATTCTTTTCTCTCTTTTTGTCTGGATAACTGATTTATATATAAGGATATGTGTGGACGTAGGCTATAACCTGTTACATTAGAACCAATGAAAGAACAAAACATCACGACCTGTCTTTTATTAATGTTCTTTTATGAAGTTTAGAATCATGACATTTTGCGGCTTTGCCCATAGCTTTTTGAAATCTGGTGCAGGATATTTCACTGATAGTCTGTTCTCATAAACGTGTTTGTTTCAGTCCATCACTAGGTCAGGATCAGGATACATTTAAATGTGCAGCATTAAGTTTTTGTAATAAACCGCTGCAATTTTAGTACGCGCCGAATAACGTTGTGGAGATCATTGCAGAACATTATGCACGAATTATTCAGTGATGATGGGATTTAAAGCATTCAAACCACATGAGGACACATTCTCTTTGTTGGTGAGGAATGTTGCATTTGCTAATTATTTATTGTGGTGTAACTTTTACGAGTTTAGTTCTTCTACATAACATTAATCATTTTAGAGGGCATTGTGTTACTCGAGTCAGTGTGCATTTTGTGCTTGTCTGAACCGTGAGAAAGTAACAAAGTAAATGTCGCTTCGCTGCACTGGTAGTAAACGACCTATCAACGTGCATGGTCATTTAGATTGTCATCAGGGTTCTACTGTTAAATCACTGCAGTAGATTATATCGGATATATTTTACGCGTTTGATATGGTATTTTTCTATCTTCAAATATTACGACTGGAAACATACATAATGAGTTTTGTGGGATTTCTCGTACACGAAGCGGCTTGATACTTTATTGTGCCGGTGTCTTTTACATACAAAGAACAATCAACATTTGAACTTTCTTCTTCTTCTTCTTCTTCTTCTTCTACTTCCTCTTCTTTGGTATGGAGGTGGGGTAATGGGCGAAAATATAAAATTCCGAGATTTGTTTTGTCCACTTCTTAGGTCTATCATAAAATTCTGAAACCGTTGTTTGTGTTGAAATGCAATTTTCCCCACAACGGATTGTGATTTCCCTTCTGATTGTAAGTTCAATCAGCTAGTCTATGTATTTAAAATACACAAATGGAAAATACAAACCTATATTCTGAAACGAAAAAGAATGAAATCTGATGCATGCGCTTGACTGCGCTAAAAGACCAAAAGGACATAATCAGCAGATCTTCATAGCCAACAGTTACAGTTAAAACGATAAAGTTCCGCTGCCTAATGAAGTATTATAATATTATCTGAAATCATACCCAGACAGCAGACAGTTTCGGCCCAGATCCGGCCCACATCTGGCCCGCATGGATTTCACATGGGCCAGATGTGGGCCGGATCTGGGCCAACACTATGTTGCTGTCTGGGTAGCCTACTTCTTATATTGCTTCGTATTAGATGAGAGTTCTATTGTCATTCAAAGCGGGAGTCTGAGCGAAAGAATCTGGATGTTAGTTATCTCGCGGAACACTCACAGATAAGAGGCAATGTATATTTACAAAAAAGTAAACAAACTTAAAGATATGAGGGACTGTTTCTATCTGAAATAAGCGGGATATGCGTGTTGTAAATATAAAAGAAATGTAATATGTTGCTACTATTTCAGGGTTGTTGAATATAAAAGGGTCTTTGCTTCTATCCTTTCAGTATAAAGTGGTCTCTGCCTCATTGTGCCCTCTCTTTCCACAGGACTGCGCTGCGTGGATACACACAGGCCGTGCGAAAATGGAGGAATGTGTATCGATTCAAGATGCTTGTAAGCCCACAGTTGTCATTTTATTGCAAATACACCTTAATTTCATAGCCTACACTTTATCAAACTCAAAATTGTTTGCTAAAATCCTCTTTAATGAATATTATTCACATTGGTGTGGTCTCAACAGGTGAACTGGATGACTGTTGCTATTGCTGTTATTCAGCCTTGGTTATCAGTTTCACATAGAGCACAGTGTGGAAAAAAGAACAGGAGTGTAGCAAAAACAGAGCAATGTTTTAATTGCTTATACATATAGATGATTTACACTTGTTTGTTTTGTTTTTTTTTTAAGTGTCCTTTGAGTTTTAGTATAAGAATCTGAATCATTGACCAGATTCTATGACTCATGTTTAATTCAGGTTGGACCATATAATTTTGTGCTAACAATAAAGTCACACTACTCCTGTCCACAATATATCAGTCACATAAAATATCTGATTGAACTTCTGATAGTGAGTCAATGTGAGCTTTTTTTGCTCATGCCAAGTAGTGTTCCAAATGCGTAGCGTTCCTTTACACAGTCTTTGTCTTCATTGTTTATGCTAATACAAAGTGATTGTTATCACATGAAAGCCTGGGGCTGTTGTTTTATGTTTCCCGCCTGATTTGGAAAATGGTGTCTGTGCACTCTAGCTTCCATTCATGGTGATTAGTGTTTTTTTTTTCCAGGAGGCACTAATACGTGGGAACCACTCTCAGTGGTTGTGTGTAATGGCAAAATCAATAGGGTGTTAAACTGAAAGCAATACATTTTATCTTTGATACGTGTATCTCTACAGATCAGTGGTTGTAAGAAGCAGGAAACTGTTTTGTATTTTTTATTTGAACATGAAACTTAGCATTCTCTTCTGCAGCCATGTTTATTACTTAATGGTATGTGACCACTCCTTCACCTTAACTTAAAACAAAAATGTCACAACCAAGTAAAGCTCCCCCCACTGCACTAGTGTTCCCTCTAAGAAAACTGTTTTATACAGCTTGTTAGTGTTAAGATTTCTTTACTTTGGTTATTTAATAACTGGAAATTGTTTTGTGCCTTTAAGGCATAATCTATGTAAATCTACCTACGTATATCACCCCACCATTAACCAAAGAATCTCATACCCCCAGGCAAGTTGTTATTGCCTGCTCACTGGCCAGGTATCCTGGATGAAGCCTCATTGTACTTTAAACCTGAAATTTTAATGCAAACGCACACCAGAGGTGGTTGGTTGTGGAAACTGGGAGTTAAGTCCTAACTGATTGATAATTGTTGAGGTAAACTGAAGTGTTTTATTGGTAGGGCAAAGCTAAAAGTCATTGATTTGTTTTTTTAAACTTTGGGCGTATATATAATTCTCATAAAACTCTGGAGTTAGATAAATATGGCAAGGTGGCACTCAAATGCCTTGTGTGTCAGTGTAACAGTCTTTAATCATTACCCAGCACACTTCAAGCCAAGTTATGAACACAGTGTGTTAGTAAATGTGTAATGGTGTTAAATAGTGCTTTGTTCTTTCCTGCTCTACTCACTCCGGAGATTTTTCTAGATAAGATATTTTGTTGACAGCGTTATGACATTGTATGTTTTAAAGGGTTAAATGTTATTGTATGTGTGTGAAGAGCACTTCACATACAGTCTGTTGTGTTGGTGTCAGCAGGTGGTATTTTTCCTTTTTTTTTAAATAAGAAGGACAGTAAATGTCATGCCACACAACACGGTAATACAACCATCTGGAATGGCCAGCCACAAGAGAGTGGTCCAACCAGTCCTTGAGCTATGGGGACAGTAGTCCCACTCCAGCCCCCTCCCTAGAGATCCTGATGAAACCAGAGATCCAAAACAACAGAAAGGAACCTTTATTACTCCAGATACCAACCTGTAACCCAGCACCACTAGAGAGACCAGAGAGAGTAGAAGGAGGAGGACTAGAGAAGAAAGGGCATATGAGAGTGAGGGAACAACAGAGAAAGGAATGGATAATGGCACTTTTAGCAAAAAGAGGCAAAGGTTGAACTAGACATAGTAAGGAGTACCTGGTTGGACTTCAGAATTTCACAAGAATGCAGCTGAGATTTTCAAGCTGTGTTGAAATCTGGTCTCTGAGAAAAACCTTGGCAACAAGTCTTCCACCTGTTCCTCTCTGTGACATGTTTTCCTTCCTTACAATGAGAGCTAATGTGCCTGGAGGAAGTTGATTATCCTATTTAGTGTAGTATCCTTGTTGCAAGAGGGCTCTCTAGTGACTGTAATATTATGCGAATATGCCCCTTAGGACTGTAATTGTTACCAGCTCAGTTATAAGCCTGTTATGTCGACTGTGTTCTACCAGGGTCTGGTTGAGGCATATATTGAGCCCTAGTTCTTCTTTGGCTCCTGAGTCATTTCATGGTCCCCTGCGCTGAGAGCTTCAGTGACTGGTGCAATCCATGACAGATTACAGGAGTAATCCCTCTCTAACTCTATCCACTGAGTGCTTCTTCACAATGGGCCACAGTCCAATGCTTCTTGGGCTACTTTCATGAGTTGGCACAGGGTTAACATCTGGAATGTTCAGGGTGTGTAACACAGGTGTGTAAAGTTCATCAGAGGATTCCTGTGACAACTGTATTTTGCAAAACTGACCCTATGGTGGTGACATCGAGGAATAAAGTCAGGGTATCTTGGGGTATACAGCAGAATGCTCTGTCGATCCAGTTATCAAATTCTGGTCCTGCTATGGACTGTCACTCTTTGAATCCCACATCTATAGGAAATGCGAGGGGTGGAATGACAGCACACTTGTTGTGAAGAGTCCAGGAATGTCACTCTAGGTGAAGAGTCAGGAAGATCTGTTAAAGTGTCTCTAATCTCAAACCCCCAGTGTGGACAGCGTGCAAGCAAGTGCAGCCACTGTGTGGGATAAAGTCTCAACTGAAGCAAAGAGATAATTAGGCAGATTGTGAGAGTGTCATTCAGAGAAGGTCCAGCTGGAAGAATAAGGCGGGGGTGGGGATGTGTGTTCGAGAAAGGGGGTTATGCTGGGGTGTAGAGGGACAGCTGGTGGATGTTGTGATGGTAATCCAGTGAAGTCAGAACCTTACAAAGGGGGAGCGGAGGGCCAGGTGCTGCCATTGAACGGCTTGCTGCCCCATGCCGAGACAGACGGGCCTATGGAGGAGCGGAGCCGGCGACCCACGGGCCTCCTAACACATGCTCACACACACGCAGCGAACTGATGTGGAGGTTCTCCATTGTCTGTGCAGGCTCTGCAAGCGCAGGCCAGTGTCACTCTCTGAGCACAAACAGTGAAGATGAAAGTGTGTGAGCCACAGAGTAGAGATGAGAATGAAATTAGACATCTATGTTTGCACTTTCCCACCCATTTGCTCAAAAAGGAAGTGGATACAGTGGGGCTCTGTCCGTTATTGATGGTGTCACCTTGACCCCAGCAGCAGAGTGAGTCTATAAATTGTGAGTGTTGTGTTTTAGTGACCCATGGAAGCTCTCTGCCTCTTAAGAAATGATGTATGAGGACAGTTAGACATGAAGCAGGCTCCGCAATCACTGCTTTATGTGAACTAACAACTGTAGCTTATTTACGTAAAGTAATTAAATTTAGCACAGAGAGTTAATATCAAAGGCCACTGTCCATTTACTTAAAGAGTAGTGTATACCAATAGTTGTTTATATTTTAAACGGTTGGAACGCTGTTTGTTTACATTGAGTTTAGCACTTAAGAGATAAAGTTCCTTTCCCTTAATATATAGTGGATTAGTTTGGAATGCTTTCTAATGGCGCTTTTCCACTGCGTGGTACGACTCGGCTCGGTACGGCTCAGTACGGCACGGCATGGTTCGGCTCGGCACGGTTTGCATTTCCACTGCAGTTTAGTATCGCTTTAGAGTGGGCGGGATTATTCACATGTCGTTATAGTTGTGCCGCCTCTACTACCACAACTCCTAAAAAAAACTTTTTCATTCCGCGTTGCCCTATCAAGCTCTCGCTGGATCCGCTCCTCTGCTATCAACGAGAGGAACGTCTGTACTTCCGCAACAGACAACAAAACTTTTTGGTTGTTAAAAAAATGTGCGCTCGTTCAAAACAGTTGCGTTCGATCCTTTGCTGGCTGTGCTGATTTAAATCTAGCGGTTCTTTTGTGTTTGTGTCGCAAGTTCAGTGACGCAGGTAGTGACGATTCTCTCCGGCCAATCCGTGATCAGCAGAGTTTACACGTCACGTTTTGGTAACGGTACGGTTCACTTGGAACCCCAACCGAAGTGGTACTAAAAAAAGTACCAGGTACCAGGTACTGTACCCAGTGGAAAACCCCCCAAAAGTGA